TCTGTGAATGTGGGGTCACAGTTAAAGTTTACAGAAATACACATTGTTTATTTTCAAAATCCTATGAAATATTACTTTAAAATAAWGTCCTTTAGTAAAGATTTATATATTAATGGTAGTTTGATAATCGGGTATTTCAGTTAAAAATATGAAGACTATGCATCTGACACAGAGCAGTTAAGTATCTCATAATTGAGATATGTACAAAATAATCTCTATTTGGTATTTTATGTAGTTATGGGTTGACATTTTGCTCAAAGTACACTCCAATGAATGTGCCTCTTAAATGAAATAAAAAAGTAAAATTAAGTCACCTACAAGATTACATAGGACAAGAATGCCTGGAGAAATGYACTAGTGTCCTCAAAAAGAAAACTGAAGCTTTCCAGTTGTCAACATGTAATGTACAAATATTCTTGGGATAGTTAGATACCAATCTCTTAAAATAAAATAAAAACAAAACTCCATTTTTTCTGTTCTTATCAACACATGTTCTAGCTCATGTCTTAGTGCCTCAMGAATGAGACTGCTCACCGAGTCAGAGCTAGGTGACATTTTCTGGATAACAGGTGATGATGGTTAGCCAACATATTCAGATAAAATTCAAYGAAACAACGGTCATAAAATTGGAAATATCCTAAAAATATGTATTTTTGATTATTCTTAGATTGAACATCTGGATTTTTTAGACCAAAAGGGCATTTTGCTGAATTTGACTAAATTTTGAAAAAAAAATGCATAAAATGTATTTTATTACGTATCTTCCAAAACTTGAGATTGTTGCCACTRAAATCATTGAAATTGTTGCCTTCTAAAACAAAACAACAAAGAAAATTCAAACAAAATCAGGTAATTATTTAAGACTTATGGGTGCTGTTAGTCTGACCTTGCAAAATACTTAGGCAGGTGCTTAATTTTAAGCACGTGAATCATTGTGTCAAGAGAGATTTTATGGAGAACACTAATGCACAAATATTAGTTAGGCCGGCTCTTCCACTTCAAGATAAGCTTGGACGTAAGTGCTTTGCTGGATATAGATCAGGATGCTCAGCACCTAACAGGGCTTTAGGCGCTGATCCAGCAAAGCACTTACCCACATGAGCAACACTGCTGACTTTAAGATCACTGCTCATGTGCTTAACATTAGGCATGCTCGTAAGTGCTTTCCTGGAAGGGCCCGATAGACCAATAGTGTATGAGCTATAAAATTTGAAGCAATGTATGCTTAACACAGTGCATATTTAACAATGTTAATCTGCTGAGATTTGCTTTTTCTTGGAACCTGGCATGTCTAACTTTAAGCATTTATTTTCAGAAAGTGCGTAAAAAAAGGCCTTTAAAAGCTGCTTTGAGATTATGGCGAGTTGAAATAATATTAGCAAGTCTCCTTATGTTCCTTTCACTTCTTCTTTGGATGTCTTCGCACAGGCATCTAGAAGAGATGAAACAGGAAAAAAAAACACCTAGGCATAAACATCAGTCTATTTCAAATAAGCATCCATGCATTTAGTTTTCCTCTAAAAAGCTTAAAGACAGATACAATCTGACACTTGAAAAAAAAATCACTGAACCCTCCTAATATGAATCCATGTTTTGTCAATTGTGCCACCTTTTGCACGAAAATTTTCAAATCATCAGGTGTCATTTATGCAAATAAAACTCACTTAAGCTTATCACTTAAGATTGAAAATGATGTATACATCCAGCCCTGAAATATCCCTAAGTCAGTATTGGTATTTCCACATGAAGTTTTCCATGCCCGGTGATGTCAATTCTTTTGCAATGAGAAGTCTAAAAAAAGAGTGCAAATATAAGGGCTGTGTAATCCCCAAACAGCAACTATAAAAGCAACACAACTCATCAGATATTCATATGAACATGTAGAGATGACATGTTAATCCCGGAAAAGAAATAAAATAAGACTGCATTTCTACAGTGGTGCTGGCATGTTGTTTCATATGAAGCTAACCAAGCAAGAAACAGCAAAGCAGCACTTCATAATGACCTACTGCTACTGCTGGCCAGTCATACTAACTATATTTAAATCCTCATTGTGGCAGGAAATATTGTTTTATGTACTTGGCACCACATGCTCTTCATAACTTCTTACAGCTACATGTTAAGGAAGTTTCAAAGTTACTACATGCACTGCATTCTTTCCTAAAGGGAAGAGAGTTTTTGTTTTTCACGTGAAAGTTCTAATGGCTCCTGGAAACAGCTTGTGKTTTTTTGCCATTCACAAATTTCTGCTCAAACGGAGACGCGGCCACTAATAAAATTGCTGTTGTTGGAAGTTATGGCATAGCTGGCAGCGGGAAGTGGAGATGTGAGAGGCTAAAGCACACAGCATCGATGCATGTGGGAAGATCTCTAGACCAGTGCTCATCTGCTGAGAGGGATGTGAAAGCCACGTACAGAAAACAAACGAAAGGCGGATCAGAAATCAGAATAAAGACTTTCCATCTGCGGCAGGATTGTCCTCCTTCTGTCCGAACCTCTGACCAGAGGAACTGGGTCTTTCTCATTAGAAATGTTCTCAAACTGTTCAGTCCATGACATGTTGCTAAAATTTCACTAAATATCTGAGCTGTTAAAACCAGAAAGTCTAAAACTCGCTGGGCTGGATATTCAGAGTAAGAACTACAGCCACACACTTGTCTGACAGTGCTTTGTTTCTAGTGCAAGGCTCCTTGGCTTTCCATTCAAGTGTCATCCCATGCTTGCTTGCTTGCTTKCTCATCATCTTCCAGTGCTTGAAATTGCTTTCTCATTAATAGACACACACACTTCCTTTCCTCTCATTTACCAAAAATGCACATCACTGCTCTATAAACRTGACATTATGTACCCGTTTTCTTTTTTCATTCTATCTTGCACTTTGAGTGGTTGTTTTCAAAACTGTCAACCTTGGTGCATCTATTCCTACGGATCTGAAGGGAGGAGATGACTTCCAAGAGAACTGCTGGATGAGGCCAAATGCTTTTCAGAATCTCAGTCTTCTAGCTTGTGATCACACTTGCTTATTCTGGGCTCACCAAAAACCAGCTCTTTCCGAATGACATCAAGAACCCATTTGCTCCTGCAATACGTGCTGCTACAGAGCAGGCCTTCACTTCACTTAGAGCCAACAGGTAAGACAGAAAAAAGCAAGGCAGCATGCAGAGAAATGCCACATGCAAAATATCTACCATAAATTTTAAACCTGTCTCATGGCTAATGTCAGAATAGGAAACTCTACTGATTAAGATAGAAGACCAACGTAGGCAGGTATCACAAGAATTTCCCTAGAGCTCTATGTAGCATTTCCCCTTTTCCTTCTATCCCCTTTAGCTCCCACCTCTTGTATCATTTTAAAAAAATTATCATGAATGATAAGAATTTTTTTAAGCACCAAATGACTTGGGAGAATGATTTTAATTGAAGCATGGATAAAATCTCTGCATCTAAGTCACAGACTTTTTGATCTACATTCAAACACTTTCATACTATGGGCTGTTTATCAGGGCTGAGGAAGACTTATAGTAAAGATCGCTCAGAATGACTGAAAAGGATTTTTCCTAGAGGAACTTCACTTTGGGACCCAGATAATCCATTTCAGAAAAACATTTTTAAAATTAGGAGCATTAATTATACACTTTTTCTCTGTTCAATCTAATTTCATTGGGAGTACATGACTCAGTACCTTTAAGAGGGCATCCCCAGTTGTGAAATAAATCTTCCCGTAATCAGAGATAATTGTTTCACAGCAGATTTCCAAATATTTTCCTCTGCCTCAGATTCCATCCACAGCGACTTCCTCATTTAGAAACTACATATGAAAATTGGAGAAAATGCTCATTTGGAAGGCACTGTGCACAGTGGTCAGCAAGGGTTGTCATTCATTACAGCTGGAAGAAAATTCYACATAGCTCTTCAGCCTAGCGGGAAAACACTGCAACATGTTGGGTGCAACTGCAGGCAAAGAAGTTTGAAGTGTAAAATCATAGAATCATAGAATTCTTAAAGTTGGAAGGGACCTCTAGAGATCACCTAGTCCAAACCCCTGCTAGGGTTTGGGACACCTAGAGCAGGGACTCCTAGAGTACGGGGCACAGGGTGGTGGGTTTGGAAGATCTCCAGAGAAGGAGACTCCACAGCTTCCCTGGGCAGCCTGTTCCAGGGCTCTGTCACCCTCACTGTTAAGAAATTTTTCCTTAAGTACTTAATTATTATGTAAAATGGCAGAACTATCAAGAATGAAGAATCTCTTAAGTTTCTCCAAACCCCCCACTGTCAAGTGATAGAAGCAGATGCTCTACATAGCTGAAGCAGCAAATAATGAAGTATTTAAAGACTGGCTGTCCTTCCAAAACACACGTTGACGCTCATCCAGAGTTTCGGCTCAGTGGAAGAATTACTGGATGACACAAAGCACCAGAGTGTGCAGTACAGGGTACGTACATCTACACAAATTGTCCCAGTGACTCCATTTCTTCTCATTTATGTGAACTGGGCAAGTTATAACATAGCAAACAGCTATCCTCATGCCTGCCTATATAGGAATACTCTATAAGGAGGGAAGAACACACCCAAGAGCGAGGAATGCTTTCTAAATAACAGTCCTACCCTGTGCACGTCTTCCTAAAGCTAAACCTGATCTAATCCATATTTAAGCTTTTGAACTATGCATCCAGCTCTGAACAGACTCTTTCAAAACTCTCAGCTTCACATTTAAACAAACCTTCTAATTATTTTTCGTAAGGACCTATGGACCTTGGAACTAAACATAACTCTAGATTGCTTTGTGTTAAGAGATTTACCTTGTAAGGCCAYGGTGATATTTTAAGTCTTTAAAGATTTATGCACAGGGAAATATCAAAAGTTCGTAACTTATTGTCTTGAAGGCCAATTGAACTCTTGAAACATACAGCAAGCACAACACGCACAAATTTATTACATAAAGCAGTTTATTGTATTACATTCACAATGACATTCATTGCAATTTGTTTCTGGCAAAATCAAAATCTCAACCTAGACCTTCTCTCTGCCCAGCTAAATTGCCACCAAGAGCAATGCTCACATCAGCATTTAGAGTTGGGCCAACACGGAAACCTGGAGACACCACCCCACCCTGGTGTTACACATGGGCAGAACAGTCTCAGAAAAYAAAGCTCTGAACGAATGAAAAAATGCTGTCTAAAGTGTCTCACGGGGAAGGGCATGTCTCCTGCCCCGGAGGGAGGGCGAGGCACAGAAACGTGGTGGCCTTTGCCTGAGCTTGCTCTGCAGAGCAACGCGAGACCCAGCCGCTCTGCTCCCGCGCAGGTTCCTCCGTGGCACTGCGCTGTGTATGCAGCCATATCCTAAACCTACTTACAAAAAAATAGCCCCAAGCGGCATCTTTATCTTCATATAAAAAAAAAAAAAGCAACGCTGTATAAAACTGTTTCAGGAACAAGCGTTTATTTTGACGCCTTAGTTTTTGAGCTAAAAAAAGCAGAAATGGATTTCATTCCAGTCTTATCAACTTTGGCCAGAGCCTTCTGAGCTGCAGACATCTTGCTGTTCGCCTGTTAGTGAAATGAAAAACAGAAAAAGTTAAGTAGCATCTCTATAGGAGGGGTGTGTAAGCTATAAACTCTTATGTACAGAAGTCAAGCAAGAAGCTGATTTTTTTTCTAGTAAACAGCAGTAAAGATAATTTTATGCAGGATAAAAATTGTAAGGGAAGAACCTTACAAAACAAATTTGAGATTTTTCAAACACAAAAAACACTTGTTGTGAATTACTTTACCTCAGACAAAGACAAGAATCAATTACAAGGACAAGGAGGTGAAGCATCTTTCCCTTCTGCAGAATGAGGTATCCCAACTCAAACGTTTACTTTGGAATAATCCCTGAGTGTACATTAAGAGGAATAATGCATGCAGGATAACAGATGCATACTGTACCCTCCGACTCAATCTCATGATTATGTTGTCAGCAGGCTGAATTACAGCCTTGCTTTCGAGATGATGAATAATTCACACTGAATTATTATGAAAGTCTCCCAGTACAGTGAAATAAAGGGAAAAAAGGATGGAAGAACTAGGACTGAAGAAGGTAACCAACACTTGCAAACACGTTGAGGCCTCTGGGAAAACTTCCCAGATTTTTACACCTAACACACATTTTATGAGCCACATTTTATAGAGCTGACCTCTTTTCTTTCTTATGTTTCGAAATATTACATTTTAAATCTCTAGCTGCTTTCCCTATTAAGAAATCTTTGCCTTGACYTTTTCCTGTGATCTATCTCAGACTGTGGGACTTCACGGTTCCACTACTTCGAATCAGCTGGAAGGTTCTGGATAGGACAGAGATTTGCAACTATAGTATAATTGTGTTACTTACTGTGCAAACAAAAACACTGCCAAAGTGTTTAAAAAGAGTGGTATACTGTACAGAATCCAAGAGCTATCTTTTCTTTCCCAGATTCTCTCATAAATGTGCTTCATTATTTTAGAAGTAAATCATATTTAAAGTGAATTATCTCTCATCAGTCTTTTCCTAAGTCTATGCTGAGTTCAAAAGCTATAGTACATAACGGGAAGGAGGAGGGAAACCCGTGYGTGTTTTCGACTATTTATCACCTTCACTTAGGGGACAATCCTTTTCTCCCACACTAGCGTGTGCCCCAAACACAGGAAAGTTTGGGGCTGGGGAAGGCAGGGGAGGGATGTATCTGTCACCAGCTGCTGCTGTTTGCAAAGGAATAAAGAGTAGTCAGCATTTGTCTGATGGCCACAAGAGCAGCTYGGAGGGCCTGTGTGGTTCCCCACGGGCTGCAGAAGGATTCCTTTCCTTTCAGTGTGCACAGAAACAAGCCCAGCAAGCCTCACAAGCTTGGCACACACAGGCAGGGTCTATTTCTTCTCGCATCTCTGTTGCTCCCCAAGGAATGATACAGTGGCAGACACTACTGGACTCAGACTTGAATTGGCCTCAAAACTTGTATGGAAGTTGGCAATCAGTAAGCTTAGTGTTGATTTAGCTTCATTAAATTGACATAAATAAGGCACAAGCAACATTTCTGGTAAATATAAGGCCTGTCTTTAAATCCTTCTTAATTTAAGTGAATGCTGTCATCTTTATTTTTCAGACARCTGAATTTTAACAGTTGCTAACGCTAAGCCACGGGATTTCTCACCTAAAGAACTCAAGAGTTTGCAAACACTAGCTGATCACCTTAGCGTATTTGTTAAAGTCTGTGAAGTTTCCTGGAAGTTTCAGGGATAAAATGCTGTCAAACAGTGAGAGGACAGACGAGTTCAGACTGGGACATTAACAGCATACATCTAAAACTGGAAGAAAAGGTTCAGGGAAATTATATTGCCACTTCTGTGTTTCTGCCAGCTCTCTGAACCAGTATCACTAACCATAGCTTGAAAAGAGGTAGGAAAGTGGTGACACTTCCCCATTTTCAGATGTCTCCTACTTAAATTGGCCACCACCAAACATTTCAAGACCTTGGTTCAGAAGAGCTGGCTTTGMTGAAGTGAAGCCATTTAGGAAGTGAAGCCAGAGCCAAGCAGAACACAGCTGCAGACATCTGTCATTTTCTATTTGTTTTTCTGATGTGTTTGGAGGAGAAAACAAAGGACCTTGTGCAAGGCTTGCTTACCTTTTTGTTTTTCAGATTGCTGCTGTTAAACTTAGTATAGTCTTCTTCTGCTTCCACGGGGACATCTGATAATTTCCTTTTCTGAAATGTTAAAAAGTGATGAAGTTGCTCTGTCAACCACTGTTAGGATGTACACACACGGAAGTTAAAAGTTTTGGCTTTATAATGTAACCATAGCATTGAAACAGAGCTTGAAACCAACTGAGGAGCATGCAGTAATCGCGGCAGAACTCTTCTCATCATGGTCTTCTTTAGGCATGAACATACAGCATGCCTCTGCAGTACTTAGAAGAGATTACTTAATGTCACAGGAGGCATTTTCTTCTTTTAGCYTACGGTGGAACAACTTCCAGAAATTAATTCAATCTGGTTGTCACCTTCCACGATTTTGACTTTGGTTTCCAAGTCTGTGTAGAGAACCTTTGTGCAGCAGCTATTGGAAACTACTGTCCAGTCAGGTGCCCATGGTCTCATGGAACCACGAAGGACCAGAAACGGCAGTGTTATTGCTGTCTGCAACTCCAGAGGACCATCCTCTATCTATCCTTTCGTGCACAACCTCCCAGAGTAATTAGTTTCTACAGTTCAACAACAGTGAAACGCTGACATAGATCTGCTGACTGCTTTATCACTTGAACCCAACAGTATATTAAGGAGCTTGACTCCATGTATATTGGGTGTCTTCTATATTCCACAGAAATAGAAGTTAAGGGTTCTCTGCACTTTACATGATCAGGCCATAAGAATGAATATTTCTTTCCATAAACTGTGAGCATGTGTTCAGTTTAAAGGTGAAAAAAAATCTGGTATGCTTCCAAAAGGGTGAAAAAAGCACACAGTATTTTACAACACTGTATTATTATTATAGATCTGATATTACAACTCTGTCCTTAATATCCTGTGAAATYGAAGCTGTGGCCTTCCTAGTTTTTGTGCCAAAGAGAGTGATTTTGAAAGCAGCTTGGATGGTACCATACCATTTTAAGCTCCTGTTATATTCATTTTGTTTATGGCACTTCTGATCTCTCACTTTCCCTCCGTCTATTCCTCTCTCTGTCTCTCTCTCTCTTTGGCACAGAAGCCGGGTCTGCAGCTTAGATTTCTCAGCTCTGTGAACCAGACCCAGCAGCAGCCTCTTCTTTCGATTTCAATGGGATCTGGACCAGCCTCTCTGGGAGGCTGTTTACTGTCCTGTGATTACATTTTCAAATGACAGCCTAAAAAAATAATGCCGGTTCTCCCCTCTTTGGAAACTGATAAACAAGTTTTTAAATCTGACTACAAAACACTTGCATTTCAGCAGACTGTCTGCTTGCAGCAGATCTGTTAGTGGTCAGATTCCCTGTGCTGAGAAGCTGGACAGTACAACGACTGCGACAAAAAATCACTGGCTTACAATTAATATAAGCATTAACTATAAGATGTAATTTTGATTTAATCATTAAATCACAAAGTCCAGACTGCACCCAGTTTTCCATTCTAGCATATTAGAGAGAATCTGTCGTAGCTTTTCTATCAAGCATTAAAGTTCCTAAATCTCTCCTCTCTTCAAAATTTGTTTTAACATTATTTGTGAACACAAATTTCTTTCCTATAATAAGAAATACATGGTGGATCCTTCTTCGTTAGTGATAATCACATACTGTGTCTGTGAATACATCTTGCCTTCATTAGAGAAATTTCAATGCAAGKGAATAAGAAAGGGTCTAAAGGAGACTACAGATTTCAGAGTATGAGGCTGCCTTGCTCCTCTGAGGCTGTGAAATAAAAGAGTGTTTTAAGCTCTGGAGCTGCAAAGACTTCACTGCATCACACACACCCTSGTCAGCCCTCTGGAAATTAATGGGATCCTCAGAAAGATTTCACTGCCCAACAACTGAACACAGTTCTAAGCCTCATTTCCTCTGTAACCAAACTGCTGAAATAAAGCTATTTTTAAAAATAGATTCTCAGAACTGTCCCAACGGTATAAAAGCTATTCCTGCGTAATATGTAATGCACATCACATGTACTTTAATACAGTTGTTGTAACATGCTTATATGGCTAATGAATATCAGTTGGCTCCTGATGTGTGTTTAATATTTCTTACAATACATAAAGATAATTCTTAACAGAATCAAAGGGCCAAGTAACTGTGCAGCCAGAACAACTGTCCAACCACATGGAAATAACTTATATCCATGGATATACATTGGAGAACAAATGCTATTAATAACAGTAAGGCCCAATTATTCCTGCATGTGCTAGCTGACATACTGCTTAACAAAACAGTCCCTGAAAGAGCCAGAAATGATGTTATTTTAAACTTGGGTTCGTTAAGTAGCAGGGACATTGCAGGAAAGGTCATTCAGTAAGTAACCTAGTTTCAGCAGAAATAGGGTGCCTCAGTTTAAATTAAATGAAAATGATAATTGAAAGTAACGCTCCAGATTCCAAAGGGTCAAACTTTGCAAACCCTTCTCCTCACTTCTCAAAGCCACAGCAAAGGACTTGATGGGTCAAGAAGACACTCGGAAAAGAAAAAGACAGGCAAAAAGTGGGTTTGGATCTTTTGCTTCAAACAAGGTGAAAAGTGCTGTATGGAAGTGTGTCTCAGACAAAACTGGCTGAATCTTCCCCCTACACACAGGCACACAGATACAAATACATCCTCTCCAAGAAAGAAAAAAAAAAAAGAGATTTCAGAAGTAAGCAGAAAGCCCATAATGAAYGGAAAAAAAAAGTCTGAAAAAGTCTGATAAAAAATAAATTTGTTTYAGGGGTCAGGTAATATAGGGATAAAGTGGAAGCTGCCAAAAAGAAAAGCTGAGTTGGACCTTGGAAAGGAAATTAAAACAAATAGTAAAACATTGTTTAGCCGTAGAAGCAAAAAGGGAATCAAAATAGCAAAGCAAGGCAGCTATGCAGTAAAAGGCTGGTCAGCTATTAAACCTAATCTGGGTAGAGCTGAAAAATGAAGCAAATCCTTCAACTCAGTAAAACGCTCCCAATAAAGATGAAGAGGTTAAACACTGGGGCAGAAAAGAGAATGGAAAACACTCTATTTAAGGTAGAAGTAAAACTCAATAGGCTAAGGCTGGTGGGAGATTGCCTCAGAAACCTAAGTTGAGGAGCAAGAGCTGGCAAACGTAGGGGCTCTGTTGCTGCAGAGGASTGAAACACTCATCTACACATAAGCAGGAGGAAAAAGTGATCCAGGCACTAACAGACTCTTTAACTGGGTGTCACCATAACAATATGGGAGAAAGGAGTGATTAAAGAGACAGAGTAAATGAAAAACCAAATGTAGGTAAAGCCATATCTTTTTCTCTCACTGATAACACATTTTGTGAATGTGTAAGGGATTCCCAGAGCACTTGATGGGCTGCCAGCTGYGAAAGGGGTATTAGAGAAAATGAAGAATGCATAAAAACGTTGAGGCAGGATGAAAGGGAGACAAAAGCAGGTAAAGCAGGAAGGGAAGGCACTGGGTTGGGTGGAGGTTACTACTGGAGTTCCATAAGAAATATTTATTTAAAATGTTCCTTATATACTAATTAAAAATAGCAGAATGCTAACGCTTGCTGAGTATCTATCACTGACACACATTAGCAGTACATATAGAGCTTGTAACATTGTGAAGGAAAAGTCAAAGAACCTCGGAGACTGGRCATATTACAAACACTTATAATGCACAGATGTGTAAGGTCATACACATGATTACTAACTGCATAAATTCCTGGTCTCTCCTGAATGCTGATCAATTAGAAATGGCAGTGGAGTAAAGAGACCTCTGCGTCTTAGCTGTTCATAGCATCCCTATGAGCTACCTGCTACATCACACGCAAGAAAGGCAGTTAGGCCAAGAAGAAGGATGAGAAGGGATGAGTGCTGTCACACGGCATGGGTAGAAATTTTATTCTGAATTATTATGCATAATTCTGCTCATCTGCATTCAAGGAATTTTATCAGCTTGTAAAAGATACAGAAATGTTCCTACGCTGATGAGGAAATGGAGAATCCACTCTACATAACTAATTTGGGCTTCACAAAACGAAAACAGGCACAAATATGTGTTTTCTCTTTACACACTGAGAGAACTAGTATTAGGGAGAGTCCTTACAATTCAAAAAACCCAGATAAAACTAGCACAAAAATGCAGGGGAATAAACTGGCTATGAATAAATTCAAGGTGGAATTTACAGGAAGGTTTCTGAGCATCAGAGGAATGAGGTTATAGAACAGCCTTCCAAGAGCAGTAATGGAAATAAAAATTCTAATGAGACTTACAGTGGAGAATGGTCAGTGTATGAGAGATTATCCACCACGGTTGGTGGACCCTTCCAGGGTCCTCATAAATTACAAATGAAAGAGAACCTATGAGGTCATAGTGTCCCATCAACCTCAATAAAAMTAAATGAGCAAACTGCGTAAGAAAAAACTGCTGACCAAAAACATAAAGTATGTCTCTCTCTCTCTCTGTTTCTCTCTCTCTCTCTTTCTTTCTCTCTCCCTTTTTAAATAGGAAAACCAACCAAAATATTGCTTAATATAAATATAAAAGTATCTATTAACTTCTTGTGTTATTTCAGACTCCGTTTTTATGAGGCCAATTTACTCATTGTATTGTACCCAGTGCTTGGCCTAGCCTAGTTTTAAAAATAACACAGAGAAATTAATCTACAACATAATATATGTGTCAATATCTTTCTTCTCCTACCTTCAGTTGTGGCTCCAGTGTTGGGCTTGTGAGTTCTGGGAGCCTGCAGAACAGAAGATTACAGTTTAACTTGAGACAACTGAATAAAACTTCTGAATTACACAACGTGAAGCTTAATTCCTTTCCCATACAGAATGCTTTGGACGTCAACTGCTCCCACATAGCATGTGTTGCAGAAAAAAAAATGGCTCATGGACATTGTATATCTGACCRAAACAGAGCCAGGCATCAAAAAACCCCATGGGCTCTTTTAAAAGTTAATTTTGGCAGCCAAAGCAGGAGAAGCCCACATTACTTCTGATAACCTTGGGCAATATCAGTCAGATGATACACGGCATCTTTGTTCTTATGCTAAAGAATGTCTGCTGGCAGAGATCAGGCCAGGGTGAGGATGCTGGCTCACCTTCGAGAGCCAGGTACCAATGAGCCCAGGTTAGAGATGTGAACTCAAACCCCAGCAGCGTGGAGGGAGAATGCACAAGCACAGAGCGGGCAGGGGATGGGAATCCTGCTGCTGCCTCTGCTTCTCATGCTTGACAAGTCTGGACAATCCCATTTAATTCTTTGGATTTCCATTTCCTCTCCTTGAAATGGGGATAAATTGCTTGAGGTTTTATGGTGAAGCTATGAAAACAGAATAACAAACTCAGGTGTTATTAACTCTGTCCTCCAGCCCGTGCTTTTTAGCATCACAGAAACAGAATGGAAACAGGGCATCTACCACTCACATCTGAAAAGAAAACACTTTTAAAGTTTGGCAAATATACTCTCACTGTATCTTTGATGGCTACATTTCAGTATTCAATAGAAATGACCAGAAGATCATTAATCCACACCACATAAATCTAAAGCTGGAACAATACTTACTCTAAGTACTTYGACAACTCCTTACTCAGATCTTCAGGAATATATTCCGATATTAACCCATGGGCATATCGCACATAGTCTTTGGGAACAGGGCAGGGCAATGGAAAGGAAGAGAAAAAGAACATTCATATTATATAGYCATGCTGTGTGTGTTATCATAAATCATAAGGTTGAGCTAATAGTAAGGGACTTCTAATGGATACACTGTGATGCTTCTCTGTGTTGAGTAGTTTATGTTATGTGACACTTGTCGGTTTATTTAAAAAGTAAAGACTTACTACCCTCACTTTGTCAGCACATGTTATTAATCTCTGCTCTATGTACTTTACAAAAGCTGCTCACTTTGGGAGAATACTAGATATCATGTATTTTTCCGTAGAAATTAAATTTTAAAAACCTGCAAAAGTAAAAAGCTGACTCAACAGAACATGCAATCATTAATTTTAAAGCATCTGGATCTTACAATTATTTGGCAAGGGCTTTAGTAGTAAAGTACATTTTCTGGCTTCAACTGAAAACAATTAGATGAGACAATGAGTCTATTTCAAAGTCTTGTACTTAATTTCAGTACTTTATGGAAAATGCCAAGGCCTATCTAAACATCACTGGCAAGACAGGATAATTATCTGTGGAAATATGAACTACTAGAAGCTGTTTTCAGTACAGGGCACTCGTGCTATAAATTATTTTTTTTCTTCTGAAAAGGGGAAAGAAAAAGCGACCCTTTTACAAAACGAAGTCCTAAAACACACTTGCTGGTACCATTCTACACAAGCACTTGCTGATCATGGCTGGATTTTTTAAAGTCTCTGTTTCGAGGGCTGCTTGCAAGTAACTTTACTCACGTACAAGAAATATTTGCCAGAAAGACACTGAACTAAAATCTCACCTCTGAATTCCATTCCATTCCAACAGCTCTARCTGTTCATACTCCTACATGCTCAGAAAGTTCAGAAGAACATGGTAAACTCATCTCAGAGCACTAAAGAACTCTTTCTTCTATGTCAGAGATAAATTCTTCTATTTTTGCCTAAAAGGTCCAATGCAAATTGGCACTGAAGCAAAAAGCACAAATGAACTTGAATTGATAAACTCGCTCCCCAGCTAGAGTGGCATCAAATTCAGCATCCCCTGTCTGTGCTTCTTCCCCTGCCACTGCCTGCATTCAGCAAGCATTTGTCACTCCCAAAGCCCACTTTCAAGGCAGGAGAGAACAAGAAAWGATTCCAAGACAGGACAAATTCACCTCAGCACTTACTGTGTCCAGTTTATCTCTTAAGAAAAATAATCTCATCATCACACTCTTTATGATATTGAATGGTGATGCCAAGTCAACTCAAGTTATAATTCATATAATGCAAATAAAAAATCTATTTTCTTTGCTTTTTTTTTTCCTTTTTCCTTTTTGCCACGAAGCAATCTTCACTGACTTCCTCTACCCATTTTAAAATATCGTTGTTTGCCTTCCTGGGCCTTTGCACSCTCATCCCAGCCTTGCTTCAATATTAACCTCCTGTCAAACACCAGGAATATTTGCACACCYCCCTTCTTTGTCTTCCTAATGAAACACTCCGGTCCTGAATGTCAAACCTTCCCTTCTTCCCCCTTGGCACTCATTATCTCCTCCCAAGTTTTTGTCCYACCAAACCTGTAGTTACTAACTATAAATACCCATACATTTACAGGGCATGGAAATGTCATAATACCCGCCTGCAAGGAATTCTCAACAGAAATAAATTGCACTGTCATGATAATGAAAAGACCAGACAAGAAAATTAGGTTTATTAAAAATAAGTGTGAGTAAGATCCATTTGACTTCTTGTCATTCACCTCGCTGCAAGCAGCGGGACTGTCTCCAAAAATTAGCCCCTTGTATTCCCCAAGTCAGGGCTGCTCTTTCTACTCTAAAACTTTTTAAGAAAACAAGTATATACATGCAAGCATAAGCAAGGAAGAAGRCAGGAAAAAAACACCGCATCTTAGTTATTTAATTACAAATTTCAGAGATAAAGTATTTAAGTACGATCAAGATAGTCACCGTCAGGACAGGTCATTTTCTCTCCCCTCTATAAAAAGGGGATTGGGAAAAGGATAAAAAGCTACTGTAAAGATAAAGACACTTATAAGTTTTGCAGTTTTGCCTCTTTTCAAAAGCCATATATTATAATCTCTGCTCTATAAAACTGTCTAGCTGCCTCTTAAATCTCATTTATGTTGTTTCCTTTGATATCATTACTTGGTAACTCAGTTTCCACTTTGTCAGCAAGTTGCTTTGTTTCTTACTTTTCATTTGCAGGCACACTTGTGAATGTCTTAGTAATCAGAAATAATTTACTTTCCCTCATCTTGCTCCAAATGTCTTAATTTTCATTAATATGTCACAGTATTTTCTTAGCAGTGTCCATTTTTCAGGTAAATTCTTTTAGCTAATGTCATAACCCAGAGACATTCAGGATGTTTCTTCCCCCAGGAAAAAGGTGACTAAAAGCATACAGGATTGCTTTAGGCGTTTTGGTATCAGCACTATCACTTTCAGGAAGACTTAATATATACATTATTCTGTCCTTATTCTGTCCTTAACAAGTACATCCTTGTGTAATTCTATAAATTTGTCATATAAAATAATCACATTTGGTCCACAAGCATTCAGCCTATAATCTCCTACTTTTTTCTTTTCTTTTTGGAATGCTTGCTAATAATTATAAAATGTTTGTTCTAATACAGTCACACTTATTGTGCGAGTATTTATACATGTTATGYGCATGTGCCACACCTTCCAAAATGGTCTCAGATCAGCAAAGCACTTCTGCATATACTTTGCTGACAACACACATCCCTTCCCTTCCCTGAACTAAGGAGAAGCTAAAAAACCCCAGCAAATGTCTAGTGTTAATTACAACTTTAGCTGACGAAGATATCAAAGAACTTGGGGCACAGAGTTACAATACACAGGGATTCTTCTGTGCAAGGAATATGTTTATGGCAAAGGCCACTTGCARTAAGCTTCTAAATCTCATTTAATCTCAAGGTATGCTGTTTCACAAAGTGCAATTCATTACAATGCTCAGCTTTCTTACCTTCTTCAGAATCTGTGTTTGGGTTACCGCTGATAAATGCAGCTGACTGTACCCTTTGACCCACAGTTATATTGTTGCTTTTAAGTGCTTTCACTGTTTGATTGACCTAGAGGAAACCACAGAAGGAAACGTCTGTATCAGTGTTGTTATGCACATGTTAATACAGTGACAAAGCTCTTGTAATTTTGTTTCCAGCACATAAAACACTCAAGTTATGGACTGTGGTGAAATTCAATATACGTTTGTAATGATTAGCACATGAGTTCAAAAACCCCAAAGAAACCAGCGTGTCTTTGAACGTGTTTGCCTTGGCAACACAGCACCCTGGGGGAGCTGAGGGACTCGGAGGCGACGGTCACACAGGTGACAGATTCACCCGCCAGGAGGGCAGGGGCTCCTCTGGGCAAGGTCTGTGTTCCAGGGGGTTGCCCAGGTGGCCCCGGGGACAGTCAGGACACCTCGGGGCACTAAGTGGCACTGCCACCCTGGGTCAGACCCACAAACCACAGGCAGAACAAGGAATTGCCAACAATGCAAACAGGTGCCTGTTCAAACACAAATACTAAAGCATTCGTTGCAAAAGAAGATATCTCAATGCCTCAGCTTGACTCTTATTATTTGTCCCTTACTACAGCTATGAAGAATTCCTATAAGTCCATAAGAGACAATATCTTTTATCACAAAAGAAAACTAATAATGTTTTTCCACAGCCTCATCATTACGGCAGAAAGCAGAATAGATTTTGTGCTTGTTGTTGACTAATTTAAATGACAAGGCTTCCTTATATCACAATAGGTACAATCTTTTCCTACAAAAGGCCATTGTAGTAGGGATGTGTGTGTGCATATGTATGTGTACACAAGCAAAATTAAGTTCATCTTCTTTACGTCAAAGCACAGACTACACCAGGTCTCACTCCCAAGTTCAACAGCTTTAATGCAGTGTCTGTCCACAGATGGGACACATGGACCTGGGACTGAGACCTGCTATGTGATTCATATACAGATATGGGCAACTTAATAAGCATCTTCATTTTGAACAAAAAGTAAACTTTAGAGTAAAAAAAAAAATCACAATACCTTTTTCTTTAGCCACTTCAGTGTTTTCTCTTGACTGTATCTGTGAAATTTCTGACTGCCAATCTCTGAAATAAGAGGAATAAAAGTAAGGAGCGAGTTAGTTTGCATTTTCAATATATTTAAAACCTTACAAGATGCAAATGTAGCATTGAAGTTAAATTGTGGCTTGCACTTGTTTGATATCAGGATAATAAGTTTCAAAAATATTGTGACGGAGACTGAGCTGATATTCACAAGTTTGAACAACGTGAAAATTCTCTAATTAGGCTCTAATCCATCAAAGCACATGCATTTAGATCTAAGTGCAATCCTAGGCTGCATAAAGACTCTTCTCAAGCTTTTGCACTTTGTCAGACCTTACTGCCTTATATTACCAGACTGGTCCTTCTAGCTATCCAGTTTGTAGTGTAAAAGGCTGGGTCCGTGACTGCTTAAAAAAACAATAAAAAAAGAAACAAAATAACAGCCTTAAATCTTTACTTTATGAATTCCAGGCCCTTGGTACTGGGGCCAAGAGAGAGAGATGGTTAGCGAAGATAAACCACCTGTCCTTTCGATAATCCCCTCTCCTATCAACTCCCCCAACTCACTTCACAGGGTGACTACAGCAAAGCATTCGCTTCCAACCCCCTCTACATAGTTCAATAAAATGTCAAAAGAAAACCCAGAATTCAAGTGAAGTGAAAGACACTCTTTGTGGGAGGAAGTATAGGATTCATTTATGATTTATTGAGCAACGTAAATTAATGTGATGACATAAGAATTTCAGAAAGTGTTTCCCCTGTGATAACTAGGGTCCCACAAACATTGGCTTTTCGCATGTGATCAGTTTTTGGAGGTATGTGAGCTCAGGATGCTGAGGTAGAGGAGAAAAAAAGCTACAAAGACTCATAGAAATTTCATGATAAAAATTAGTAAGTATGAATTCACAGACTGCTACATTTTGGAAACGGAGTGAAATGTTAATAAGACTACCTAGGAGATTTTAGAGCCCACTGCGATTCAATCTTGTTCTTCAACAGGTATTTCAGCAAGTTTTAATCTCTTGTAYTCCAGTCCCATAAATACCTACATCTGTTTCATGTCATTTACTGATCCAATTTCATATTCCAGCACTGGGTTCACGAAGTTTCCTTCTCCCCTTTGCAAACAATCAACAACACATTATTTATGATTCCTTCAGCATTTCCTTCTTTGGGGTTTATTTTGGCTCTTTCAAATTGCATACAAACATCTAACTATTAATGTGTCTTTATGTTCGCATGGTGGGGGAATGAAGAGGTTGGGAAAAGCTGTAGGCAAGATAAAGTTTAAATCTATCTCCATGATTGTAGAAGAGTAAAAAGCCAAAAAAAAAGGGGAAAAAAATACTAATAAACTTTGCTTCATGAAGCTGATGAGTTGCAGGTAAAGTAATGAGCTGTGACACAGCTGGCTGCAGCCACGGCTCTGAAAGAAAAGAAGCAGAGAAAAGCGGGGAGAGACTCTGGCTACGTGAACCTGCTTYGCAGAGAGCTAACGTTGTCCAAGTACAGTGAGTACGACTCACGGATTCCTCTCTTATCTGGGAAAGTTCGGGAAAGGGACATCCTCCTGCCACCATCCCCCAGCCCGTGCTGAAAAGGAGCTCGAGTCCAGATTCCCAGGCAGACTCCCCCACAACAGCATGATTCAGAGTGACTCAGTTAGGGAAAGGAAATGTAGAACTGCGAAGCCGTTTTCATTAAAACATGTGAAAAATAATTACGCCAAGCCCTTTGGAGATCACTTTGTTTGAAAATATTTTGTGTGCTTGACAGTTTTGACTATTAAACTCTAGAAACTGACAATATTTGAGACCTCTGAAGAATTAAAGTGAGTTATGAAAGTCACAAACTGCTGACAAAAGGATTCAATATTGGAATGTGGATTTAACATGTGATGCACATTTGATATTGGTGAGAGTTAGCGACTATGTTTGATAATATGAGTATATATTGGAAAGCCTTTTGTTCCCTAATGTGTCTGGTGCCTATAAAACTGGTCTGAGACATCTGGAAAGATTGGGTTTGAGAAATACAGATGGAATATAAGTGGTTCTACAATTAAATAATATGTTCAGCGATCGGGTAATCGCTATGTAGACTTGGAAGTTTCCCTGATGTATTGTTGAGCAAACTGCCTAAAGCACATTTTAACATCCATTTTCTCAGTGTTTTCCATAACTCAGAAACTCATATGGCCCCTTTTTTCCTACCTTCTGGGAATACAAGCTTGGCAATATGACTTAGTTATTCTAATCAGGTAAGTTTTCTTGGCTCTTCATGTTAATCACATCAGACAAGATCACAGCACAGTTTTTGCCTTGCAAAATGAAACAAAGAGTAACGCTCTCGAACTGGAGTTCACAACCCTTTTCTTAAACCTCCTCCGTTCCACTCGCTACCCTGAATTTGAATTTATTAGCAAACAACCTGCTTCACCCAGGCTTAGCCAACTGGAACACACCCTTTCCCCAACTACTACAGCAGGTAAATGGGAATTTTATCCAGCAAAATGAATCTTCATAGTTCTTCACCACAGATGCCACAGAAAGTGGACTTTCTGCTGATCCAGTAAGTGTAAACTCTTGAGTGCTCTAGGGCAAGCATTTGTTATACAGATGTCAAATGCCTTGAGATTAAATTAAGAGTTAGATAATTATGTTGTTAAGTTCTGCCAAACAGATCAGAGCTGCGGAAGACTCAGCCTAACAGACACTGCTTGCCCTAGAACTGCAAGCCCTAAACAAGGGTTCAAGACACACAACAGGTCATACAGCTAGAAAAATGCAAATGTTCTTGAAAAAGTGGGGTCTTTTTTACAGGTAATAACAGACAAGAGAATATCTGAGAGACATGGATTGAACAGAAGGGTGATTTATGTACGATAGGCAAGTTTCAATGAGGTTGCTGTACAACAATAATCTTAGTGTTTTAAAATATTTGGAAAAAAAAACCTAAAGAACAAGATACATTTCTGGTACTTCATCCCAAACCAAACTCAAGAAAGACCCAAGTGTTGCCCAAAGCAAGCACAGTTGTTCATAGGAAATACCCCTCCAAAAAGAAATTCCTGGCCTKGCCTTGTTTGAGCTTCCCAACTCAACAGGAAGGTTTTTCACCTTCTCAGGTTAGTGAGCAGAACACTGGTAGCCCAGCCCTTGSCCTTAGCTCCTTAGGTAACATGAGACAAGTTGCAGGGGACAGCAGTTGCCTACAACTTTACTATTAGTTTCTAATGGAAGCACTTAGCACTTCGCRGGAAGGCAAAAGCAGAAAGTAGCTGTAGAGGCATCTGTCTCACACAAGCCTTCTCAAAAGTCACAATCATGTGACTTAACTTTCATGTTAAGAAAAGGGTTGTTTTTTCCCAGTGATACTGAATGCAGCTTAATGCTTTCTGAAGATCCTTTGGAAACCCTGGAGTATCCCAGTGGAACACAGTATCAGTTATCCCAATTGTTTTGCTGCACAAAACTCTACTTTGAAGAAAAGATGATCATTTTCCACGGGAACATGGTCTATGCTGTTTCACCTTACTGCATATGAACCGCTTCATACAGGAAAAGAATAAATTCATGCATCTAAATCTTTCAGGGAAAACTTACACCTCTCCTTGTTAATGTTCTATGCAGCAATAAAGGGTCTTTTACTTTTTGTCAGGGTGTTTGTCCAACAGCCTGACTCAGTCACTTTCCAGGTAGCTGCAGGAGAACATCTATTCATTTTTTCTCGTAGATAACAGTGACAAGGGCTGAGCACGTTGTGAATGTAAATCCCTGACACCTCTGGCTTCTAGTCTGTTCACCTCAACCCTTAGAGCAGCTCTACAAACAAAAGGCTCAGAGAGTTACCTTGTTTTCATTCGGTGGTAGAGAAGAAAAGGGAAACCCCACAGAGGCTCCATGTTCTCAGACTCCTGTAGCCCTTCTTGTACAGTTAGATTTCCATTCACTATTGGGAAGTCAGTACAACAGACAGACAATGCTCTGTAAAAACTGAACTCTTCTGTCTTTTACAGGTCTGCCAAGCTGCAAAAACTGTCATGTTCCTTTCTCATCCCTAAAGGTCATACATTGTGCTCACATAAAATAAAAGCCCTCTATAGCAAAGGGAACGCTGGACAAAGGTTGAGGACAAAAGGTATAGAATTGATACCCATCTACTTTCTTACATCTAGGTTCTTTCGCACACATTCATATATCCCAAGCAAGGTTCTTATTTTAAGAAAACTAAGTCCTTGAACACATACCAAATTACACAAAGTCCACAACACTTAATTATGGCAAGCTAGAAAAATGTTTGCTTTTCTCAGCAGCATATTCACCCTTCTCCAGTTTTTACTTGATTCTTTTTGAATGCTCTGCTACAAAGGGAGGAAAGGGACCCCACGGACAGTGGTTCACTTCTTCCTCACTAGACCACCCTACCCTAAAGAAAGAATTTCAACTTTCAGCACAAGGCAAGGAAATTTAACAGCATATACAGTAAGGCTGATATACAGTAAGGCTGATACTGACTGATACTGATCAGAAATCAACTCTGGCCAGTTTATCATTTTTATATCAACAAGCAACRAGACTGCAGAATCAGTTTAGAGCTACCACAGATAATCTGAGATTCACATATTTTATTTACAATGAAGACTTTTAAGCAAAAGCTTCTGTTTTTACTAATACCATTCCATCCTGAATAATGGGGCTGTGTAAATATCACCAGCAGGAGATTGACCCAACCTAACCACAGCAGTGGTTGCTCTACCTATAATCATCTGAAGGAAAGATACCTTCACATGATGGTTCCTCCCAATCTGAGAAAGCTGTTTAAGATAGGCGAATGAACCATTTTCCAGAAGWATGAAGTACTTCTTCCATTTTCCAGAAGTACTTCTTCTCTACCRTTAAATACATAGAAAACATCTAGATGGCTAACAGAGAACAAACCAAAACGAAAGGAGACAACACACAACTATTTTAGTACTAACAACACATTTGTATAGCACATAGCAGTATAAAGACACACAGAACCAGACTTAAACCTATCTTGCAAAGAAGTGGCTTGTTCCCTCCTAGAAGAGTGGTCAGTCAGAACTTCACTTTGCACAATCTGAAATAATGCTTATACTTGAGTTGGTTAGTGGAACTAATAAGCTCTGCCTTTCTTTTTCTTTTTTACCTTTTTCTTCTGTTACATGATGTATGTACTTTTCAACATCTGCACACTTCAGCAACCATGAGCAGTAAGGATACTCAGAGTCCAGCACAACTTGATCCAGAGGCTGAAACTTTCCATTCTGAAAAAAAAACACATCAAAAGGATTCTAAAAGCATTATCATAAATAACAACAGACTAAGAGTAAGCCATTGTTAAGCCATATGTATATAAATATATGTATGTGTGTGCATATATATGTATGCAGTAGTCATGGCTTTAAAGTATTTAGAGAAGGTCATATTTCAAATGGTACCACATGACACATTCAGAAAATGATTACAAAGCAACTATAAATATTTATTTCAAACTAGTAAATACCTGTAAAATGCTGAACTCTCCAATTAATGCACTTAACAGCCCAAATTTAAAACAACATGGGGAGAAACTAATGTGAAGCACAGGGGGATTTTTTGGGGAAGATGACAGAGACATAGCAGTTGGCGTGTGCCAATAGTGTTTTAGACCAAAACCTGTTGGATTAAACCCAGTGTCATAACTTCAATTCAAATCTTGCTTTTCCTTCCATAAAGATAAATCTCAAAGGAGAAGTGCAGCTTCTGGAACACAGTATTAACCTTTCACCTCTGCAGAGTCAATTCCAGTTTGGCCAGAGTAGGATATAAAGTGAATCTGGCACAACTTAAATAGCCCCACACATGATGGAACCATCAAACAAATCCTGCTGCTGCCAAATAATGCATAATCATTCAGGACAGTCTGGCACCACTGGCAGCCCTCCCTTTCATAGACCCTTTAGTTCCTCAATACAGAGATCCAGGGAGCTCTCCATTCTGACAGAGCACAGGGCTTCAAGGAGCTGAAACCACCACACTGATCAGCATGAAAAAAGCACCTGGGTAAACTGCTTTCATCATTAATCAATCCTTCTACTAGACAGYCAGAGGCCTAAGAAAAACAACCATTCACAGTTGTATCGGGTAGAAAGCAAAACAAAATGGATTTTATTTTTGTGGAAAAGACAAAATTAGAGTGGCAAAAGGATGGTTGTAAGAGGCAGCAGTAAAGCTGTATTCAACTCTTGTTCCCTGTAGAAAACTTACCTGCACTTGTATCCTGAGGCCATACAGGATACGCTGTGCACAGAGCCTAAGCTAAGAAGGCCTGTGGGACAGAAGCTGGCTCTGCTCAGGGCCATGCAGGAAACCCTTCCACTGGCAACTTCCTTTTACTGCAGAACATGCTACTTTGTGCACGGCATTGCGGGAAGCTGTTTGTCCTGGTCTGGTACCCAGAGCAGCTCTGTGCRCTTTTCTGGCACCAGGCGTTGCCTTACATGCTCTACGTGTCCCTGCTGGAGCAGGAGGTTGGACTAGATGATTTCTAGAGATCCCTTCCAACCTCAACCATCCTGTGATTCTGTGAAAACCCTCCCAGAGCCCGGGTACTTGGGAAGTACTGAGCAAYACAAGCACAGAAAGAGCAGCAATCATCTTCCTTGTCCTGCCTTGGTGTTCCTCAGCACTCTATCACACAGACAGAGAGGATTTACTATATCCRTAACTTAAGTTTGGTATAAAGCTTTCAAAGGGATCCTAAATGCAAGTAGAACATAGTATGTAGAAAACCAGCTAAACTACTGCTATGAAATGACTTCTCATGGGCCACCCTGAGGCTGGACAAGAGCACAGAAATACAGAACACATTTGCACACCCTAGGTCATAAAAAAATTAAAAATAATTATAGAGCAACAGATTAGTATTATAAGTCTGTAACAGGACTTTATTTCTCCAGCATATAAAAAATGTTCTCCTGTATTCTCTACTTGCAACCTGAAATAGAAAATAGCAAGCAACCTTATAGGAAATGTTCTTAGAAAAAAAAACTCTTAGGATACATAAAGTGAAATTACTTCCCCCATCAAATAGGAAACAAGTATCAACATTTACATTTGCTTTTATGTCCTTTTGTTCACAGGCAGAAGATTATAACCAATAAATCAAAAGCATTGCCTATGACTTTTGAGATGCTTCTTAAATTTACATGCGATTGTGCAACATTCAGGATAAAGCAATTTATGAATTATGTATCTTTTGAATACTTGATCATTGCTTTGCCATTTCATGATAAACCATCTCTACAAATACAGTTTCTAAAAAAAAGCAACTTTTCCTTCAAGAAATGTTACACAGAAATGTTACTTCTTCCTTCCCTACCGCATCCAAATCATCTTCCTTTCTTTCTCTCTTCCCCAAAATGACTCATCCATTCATGCAGCAGAAGCAGCGGCATTTTTTTTTTTTTTCTGATGGCATCTGATCAATTTAAATCCAAAGATCGGGGGGACAGGCTCTCACAAAAGAGATTCCCTTCTTTCACAACAAAGAGGATTAATATCTGTTCTGACTGCAAGTCGACTCCTTGAGCATAATTTACTGATTAAGAAAAGTTGATGGAAACAAAAACACTTCTGTGGTGGACATCTCTCTTCTAAACACCAATTAAATCTCCCATAATACAAAGTCCCTTTTTCCCCTTTATCAAAATGAATTACCTCCTGCAGAAAATGAAGTCACTAATATCATTCTCATCTAAGAATTCCAGTGAAAAAATAAAGCACGCTTACCTCTTTGTATGCTTTTATGAGGTAATAAAGTATCAGAAATAAGGGATCCATCGGTGTCACAAACAGTAGACGCCCATCTAAGGGAGAGACACATAAAAGAATGCTTAGCGGCACGAAGCACAAGGATTTTGCTTAATCTCTTTTTTTTTTCATTTTTGCAAGGATGCTTTTCAGGGGTGTGGGTGGGAGGAAATTTTTAAAACATAAAAACATTTCAATATTTCAAGAAAATGGGAAGGAAAAGAGTAATTGTGACTTTGTACTAAAAATGCAGAGAGAGCTCAAACTGTCAGCTCTGCTGTGGGTTTTCTGGCTTCAGACATACTTACTCAGTTTTGCCTGGACTATATTAAAAACTGCAAAATTAAAGCTGCCCTCTCTTGGCAGAATTGGGCATAACAGTCCCTTGTTTTGGTACATCCTTTCTGCCCTCTATACTCCACCCTAAACACTGGGCAAGCGATGCTGTGCTGGCGGAAGACACAAAAGAAAAAACAGTTCCAAGAGTTTGCTCAGTTAGAGCTGCCTCTGCCTGCTTTACAAAGGCAAAAGGTTTACCCCGTGAGTGCAGAATGTCCACATAGTTTCATAATAGCATAAAACAAACAGAAATAGATCAGAAATGGCAGCTYAGTGTGTTCAAAACTGCAGGTAGGAAAAGCCATGGTCTTCCATCAGAACAGACACCTCTGCCCATATGGAGCTCAATGCAGCACGGTGGCTTAGTCTGGCTTTTCATATAAATGCACAAAATTGCAAACAATGCAACAKGAAGGAAGGGCACCAATGAGACCCAACAACTGATGACAAGTTGACATAAAAACAAAAGCAAAAACGGTGCTGGTGACTGTCCAAAAGTGGGTCTAATGCTTAGTATAAACAGAATAACACAGAGCACAGTGCTGTTACAGATCAGCACACGCAAGCAAAACCAAGAGAGTCTTGGGCATTCGGGCTGGAGTTTTTCTCCAGTGAGTTTGTGAACTCACTTACACTCACATGTATTAAGTCCCTGACCACAAGAGGCTATATTCCCTGGACAAGGATCARGCAAAGCATGTTTTCAATCTCAACTACATATCCATTAGCAAAGAAAGTACCCAGATTTCCTACTCACAAACCTGGAGGTTCTGCTAACAAAACTGGAAGCGAAAAGCAGGAGCTCCTTTCCCAAAGCTCTTRTGTAAATGCTCTCCATGGCACCTCCAGTGCACAGACACGCTGTAGGTTATAAAGCCCCCTCTCTTTCCTCGCAGGTACCCAGATCATTTGCTATAACTGCAAACAGGAAGTTTTTGTGTTCTGTTCTTCCCCTGAGCATTTCAGAGATGCATCAGGAACAATTTTTCCCCTGTATCTCTTAAAGAAAAGTTAAGGTGATGACTCCTTAGGGCAACTATTTCCTAAAACCGAAATAGAGGTTAAAAAGGGAGAGGGAGAAGGTAATGTGGTCATAATTGGGAGCAGGGAGAGGAGCCAGTCTCTTGGCTCACCCCCAGATGGAGCAAAGCAAAGCTCACAGACATACCACTTGCATTGCTAAATGCACCTGCAAAGGACATTGAAAAGTTAACACACACTTTGGGATATTACCATTAAAGGAGACATATCTCTAGTGGGTTTGCTTTTATTTATTTATTATTATAAAGGGTCTTTTCTAGTTAAAGAAAGGAAAAACAAATCAAGTTTTATCTCCTGAATTAATACCTATCGCTCGGTCGATGGACCTAAACTCTGGTAAGGCACCTTCAGACAACAGCCCCATCTTAAGATCCCAGCACTCACACAAGACACTAGAGTAGTTAAAAGCAAGAACACACATTGCAATGCCTGGAGCTCCAAGAAAATGCTCTGCTTRCATAGCTCAGGCCATCCAGGCCCTTTTCTTTCCCCTCGAATAAAACATACTTTACTTACATGGAGGATTTGCTGGGTTGATTGACAAGGCAAGCTAAGCACTTTATGGCATTTCAGTTTAAATGCAGTTGAGTGACTCTCCCCCCACCAAAAAAGACAAATGAACATCTGTCTAATTGAGACCGCCAAAGGCAGCCTTTCAAAAGGAGACCACAAAGCCCCCAGCCCTGGTTAGGTCCAGATGGTAACCGAGTGTGTCAGAAGGTGGGGATGTGATGCAGCATGCCTCAACAAGCAGGAGAAACACCTGTAAATTTATTGTAAGACAGGGAGAAAGTATGAACTTGTGCATTAGTTACAGTTCGGGAAAGGATACGTTATATTACTCACCTTGTTCAACAGTCTGACCTATAAACCAGGAATGATACTCCTCTTGAAAACATTTCACTTCAAACAGCTGCTGTGCACCGCTATTGAACAAGTAAAGGGTTGCTTCCCCTGCTGAAAAGAAATCTGGTTTGTGTTTGGAAGCTTGCACAAAAATCAAAAGAATACCCAATACGTCAGAAGAATGTGCCTTATACACATACATACACACACAAAATCATACACGCATTCTACATAAACTCACTACAAAGAAAGCTCAGACAAAGAAAACTATTATATACAGATGTTCGTTTACCAGCTCTATAAACCAAACTGAATCTGAATCAATAAATAAGATGTGTGAATAGTTCATCTTACAACACAAAGCCTTTGATCCGAACCCAAATCAAAATCACACAGGGAATTAGCTTTTGTCTGCACTAAAAGGGGAAGGTGGATAATGAGAAAACTTCTCCTCCCTTCCTTGGGTCAGTCTCAAGATATCAGACTCAGGAGTAGGGGGAAACAAAATCCTCAAATCTTCAAGTGACAATTTGAAATAATTTTTGAATATCCATTGAAAATGCACTGCAGATGTCTTAGCTGGGGAAGAAGAGAGTAGCTGAAAGAAGCTGAAGTGTTCATCTGTGCCATTACTTTGGAAAGAGAGGAAAAAAAAAGGAAAAAGCTTTGGATTTTTTTGGTCACCTCTCAGGCATTTCACACGAATTCTGGCAATAATGGAGATGCTGCAAACGGGGTTGGCATTATCCATACCTAAAACAAGAAGGCATCAAAACCACAGAAGACACCACAATGATTTGGTGTGTTAAGTCTGTTGGCTTGACTGATTCTCTCCGGGCTATCAATCCATCATGGAGAAAAATGAAGGAGATGGGGTAAGATGTGAGCAACTGCAACATGCAGCAGTCATGCTCATTAGACAAACTGCAAGGCTGCACTCACCTGCATCACCAGATCATGGGCTGGCTCAAGAAAAAGTCTCCGTGCAGGCCCCTGCAAGCTGATGTCAGCGGTGCTGCTTGTGGGCTCTAGAGACCCCAGATGCAGAGCAAGGCCAGATAAATAGGCAGACACCTCTCATCACAGGCATGACTGATGATGTTTTTTTCCCCTCTTTATCCAAAAGGCTGACCAGATGTTTAACCTCACATAAGGGTACACTTTCAACTCTCTGATCATCATTTATTCTTTTGGAGAGAGGAGCAGAGAGGAGTGAAGAGGAGACAGGAGGCAGAGCCAAGGTTTCCATCGTTACCACGTGCTTCTCAATGGAGAGGCAACTCCATGGTCTGGTCAGTGCTGGACTCCAACTGCTCCAGAAGTGCTCACTGAACAATTTAATACTCCTACCAGCGAGCACATCAGCTAAATGCAGGGCAGAGCTGGGGAATGGTGGGGAAAAGGAGCATCCCTACTAATTTCAGCTCCTGAATTTATTCCCTTATTTTAAAAAGTCAGTACAGGTTTCCCATCAGTGTCACTACACAGAAACTTCAGGGGCCAGAAGGAGAACCTAGGGCAGCTTTGCTCCCAGCCTGACAACTTCAGTCGGCTGCCTACACCAAGCAGGGTGGGCTTGATTTCCCCTTCCTTTAGGTCAGCACTTTGCTGGTTCCTGTCTTACTTCTGAAGTGCAGATTGGAACCCGACTCTGCTGTCTCTGTATGGGATAGGCAAAGGTCCTTGTTCATGTTTCCTGTCTATAAAAAGGACCATGAGTACTTTTGTTTAATAAAGTACATAGCATGAATTCTATAGCGTGCTGAGTCCTTCYGTGGGTATTATACACTATCTGGCACCAACTATCCATCTATTAAACCCAAATGTAAGGAAAAGACATTACTAGGGTGTTTTCAGTCCTTCCATTTTCAAACCCTCTTCTGCTAATAGGCTACATAACTGAAGGTTTAGGCAAGTCCTTAAGTAAACTTCTGTAAATTCTGAAGGAACACACCCATGCTTTTGGTCAAATCACTGCACTTCAGGTTTTCCCCAGAAACGTTTCCCAAGATCTCAGATTCTATGAACTAAACAGACCTTTTCCTCCACAGCGAAACACAAATTAATAGCTATGCTTTTGCAAATAGAATATATTACAAAATGAGTATAATACAGCAGACGGAAAATATCTGTGGCTGTATATTTTCCTGTAATTTCTGAACAATCAGAAAAACAGGTACCACGACAATAAATGATTTCACATTCTGCATCTATGGTTTTAAATCAGTCTCCTCTTTTAAGAACAAGCAGTAATTATTATACTGTGGTATTAAAATGTACACAAAGACTTCTGTTAACCTAAGCGAATACGAACAGTGRATTTTAAAATAAAAACATACAGCTTAATTCTATACAAAACAAATGAGCTTATGGAAAGAGATACTAACAAGAACCAAGCAATAACACAAAATAGCACGTAAAAAGCGCAAACCAGATATTTCAGACAAAACATGTTAACCCTAACCGAGGCTTATTGCAAGTTTTTGTTGCTGTATGTAACACTGCAATTATTACATTGCTCATCTAACAGTAACAAAAGGGGAAATCTGACTAAAGAAAGTGACTGTTTGTGGGATAGAGAAAGGGTCATTAAACTGCCAGCATTAGTTGGTCTTTCCAATATGTTTCTAATTCAAAGTGCCTCATTATCTATTAACAAGAAAAGAGATAAACTCTCTGGATTAAGGGAAGAAGAAAATTASATTTAAAAATAATAAGGACTCAGAAAGTTTGGTAACTATAATTGAGTCACTTTTTCTAACTTTGATTATTTATTTTACAGCCTAAGTTGAATAGCTAAACTCTAAATTTGGATTTTAAAAAAGTGCCCCTACACTGAAAATTCCCCCAAACTAATCAACTTGAAAACAGAACTTAAATTACACCTCTTTTTTCTTTTGTGCTGCCAATAATCCTGATGAATAAACAGTTCAACCAATTAAAATTATAAAAGAAATTCTAAATGTTTGCATAGCATTAACTATCTGGCAACACCAGCAATATCTTTGGCACACAGGACTTACACTATCATCATTATTTCAGCTTGCAAAACACGAATATTTTGGTGATGGAAGGAATCAGCCAGGGCATTAACAGACCCACGTCTATTCCCCAACTTGCCTGTGCTTGGATTGCGTAGTCGTGTAAACAAAGCTTCACCGTCAGATGTCTTAGGGGGGTTAATAGCAGCCTCTGTGGGGGGAAGGAAAAAAGTTATGAATTTGTAAATAAAGAAATATTTCATGTTCTACTGTGGTTCTCCAAGACACTCAGAATTAGCTGACACTTTCTAGAAACATACGTATTTTCTGCTAAAAGGTATACAGGTAACAGCCCATCTGACCAAAGTACCTAAACTATGATTCCAGACAGTTCTCTGTTTGCCACAGGAGAGAGACATGTACCTGGGGATGATTTAAATCTTGAAAACGACTTCCCCAGAAACAGCCTCAGGTAATGGAGCTCTTAAGCTTGACATCTCAGTTAAGTGAGATGACGGGAGGGTTTTGCACTGATTAGTCTGAAAGATGATTAAAACACTTTGTAAATTAGACTAAGCATAACATGTGGCATTTAGAAGTTATAGAAGGTAGAATATTTGTAGGAAGAAACAGTCGTCCTTTAAAGCCTGGCTTTTAGGACGCAGCCTATGCAGTAATGTATGGGTCAGAAATTATCTGAGTGCCTGTTATTTCTGAGAAAATATGCACACTTGTTTATCTCTTATGTATAATCCTGGAAAATAAAGAGTGAATCTAATTCTCTCCGCAGGAAAAAGAAGCTGAGGGAACACAGCACTCTGGCTTAGGCCCTCGACAGTTCTCTTCTCTGTATCTTAAAGAAAAAAAAAGTCAAACAAAAAGCAGAGACAGAAAAGTACTATTACTCTGTGAAACTAGAAAGAAAAAAAAAGAAATAAACAGTTCCCATAAGAATGCTGATTCAAATCCAGAAAAAAAAAAAAAAGATTCTATAAGGATCCACAGTTAATTTTATTCTATCCAAGGGAGTATTTGTAGGGAAAGTCCAACTTATATTTATGAAAACGACTTCTCACATCTGAATGAAGAGCAACATGACAGCATCATGTTTCTTAGCCTGCAGACTGCCAGTTCTGTCCCAGTTCCTTTCACAAAGGCATTCATCAGAGCAAGGAAAATTACTAAAGCATTTCACACATACGAGCAGCATCCAGCCCTGCAGAGAGAGAAAGGGCTGGCAGGGACCAGGCCACGGTCTGGCCGTGGTGCTGCCGAGGGGAGCAGGAGACATGGGCTGTGCAAGAGGGGCTGTTGGAAGGAAGGCGAGAGCCACATCTTCCTCCTTTTCCTCCCAGTGTCATGTAGGAGGTGTGGTCGGATGGTGAGAACAACACGGGGATTCCCTACTGGCAACAGGGAAGCTGGAAGCCTAAATACAACCAAGGACAATAGTCCCATCTGGCTGAAAGCCCATTCCCAACCCAGAAGAACAGGTAAGGTGGGCTTCTCTCAGCCTGCTCACTGGGATCTCTGTGTCAAAAAAAGCCCCAAATAACCTTCGTCTTTCACATTCACTCCTGGCTAATCAGTTGTGCCACAAATAGAGATTGCCTGGATAAAGGCAGGACCTAAAGGGCTTAAAAAGCAAGTATCCTTTGTGCTAATATCAGAAGATAACAGCTCTCAAAGCTGGAGAATTTACAGTCCTTCTCCTTCCTCAAATTCTCAGTCAAGTCTACAGGTGGCTTGAAAAAGCGCTTGAAAATGTTTCAATGCAGCTTGGTTTGTAAATGGAAAAAATGTCCACATTTTCTAACCAGACTTGCTTCATATGCTGATATATAAACACACACGCAGTTGTCAAGCTACATTTGTCCTGGCAAAGGAGAACTTCACATTTCTGAAGCTGTGTATATTTCGATTCTTGACCACAGTTTAACATCAGTGTATTTTTCTGTTATTTTTTAAATCACTGCAGTGATTAATGATAGTGAAAGTAACATACCGCATGTGTTTACTTTGATGTGTTTCGCATGAACATGTTAAAATATACATACTAAATGTGAGATTTAAAATTTAAAACAAAAAGCAAAACAAAGGAAAACCCCAAAGGAACTTTTAGCGCTCACTTGCTCTGCTTTCTTCATGCATACATTTATGAGCACTGGGAAGGAGTCCAGCCGAGTCTAAGCTGCATCTTGTTGAACGTGAGCAATTAAGTGGACAGCCCTTCCTAACGGAGCTGTTTTTAATGGAGTTCACATCTTCATTTAGTGGATCCGTCCGTTTCCTAATTTTCTATTAACACACAATGCCAACTTGGCCTCGTGGCTAAGAAGGCCCTATATATATATATATATATATATGTATAAATTTAATTTTTCCACAATCAAGAAAGTGCTGATCAAAAGATTGTTGCAGTTAGGTGCCCAAACCCTTTCCTGTGCGTATTCTGGCCTTCAGTCAGCAAAGGTAAGTGGATTTATTTAATGTCATTATACTTATTAGCCCTTGTAATTGGACAAGGATGTATTRTAGCTAAATAAATAAAGACTTCTTAAAAAGCAGTTTTTAAAAAAGTGTTCTTAAAAAGCAATTTTCCAGCAAAATTAAGAGTTAAAGAGTTAAACCAGGTCTCTTACTTTTTTTCTTTTTTTTAAAGAGTTTTAAGATTCACAACCAGATAAGAAACAACCCTAGAAAAAACAAGCATACCAGACAGATATTACAGGAAGAGTTCTTTTGTTAAATCCTAAAGGAAAACATCAGATGATTGCCATTATACTATTATTATATTATACCACAAGAGTTACCATAGCTCAGCCCTAGGAAGCTTGCTTCAAGCAAAGGAATAATAGGTGAGAGGAGGTAAGAACTTTCTTACTAAATGTTATACCCCTTTAGCCTTGCAGCTGTGAAGTGCAGGGGACATAAAGGTTAGCTAATTAATTAACAGATAGGCTGGCTTTTTTTCTAGGACAATATTCACATACAGGTCACAAAAACTGATACAGAGGTACAGAAAGGCCCAATTAATCCTGTCCCAAGGACATGGTTAGCTAGTAGGTGCTCTTTAAGCTGCCAAGGAGGCGGCTGAACCCTCCTCAAGCCTCCTTGTACTCGAGACACCCTCAGTAAAGCAGCATGAATCTGGGCCATAGTCCTGCCAGAGCTGCACCTGAAGAGAGAGCTTAGATGAAAACCCAATGCAGGATGATTAAAACATCCTTGGGCTRATATGTATGTATACATCTCTGCTGCTTTCTTTCAAGCTGATCCAGCAAAGAATTAACTAGTCGTGGACAAAAATATTAATTTTCAGTCAGATCCTTAGGTTATAGTCTGCTATTTATTCTTTATGAAGCAAATTAAATTACATTAAGGCCACTTAAAAATGTGGGTGACAAATCCATTGGTTGTAACAGAGTCTACAAAGGGAACCTCAGAATACCGAAGTTCAGTTAAAAAGACCATAAAAGCTTAAAAGACATTTTTCACTACAAAAGAAAAGAAAAAAAAAAGAGGAAAGGCTATCATATTTCAAGGAGGTCAGACACACAACGAGGCAAATTCCATAAAATATATAAACAGAACAACGTGAAAATGAACCAGCTGTCAAAGGATTTCTGACAATTATTTCTTCCACAATGGATAAAGTCATTAATGAATCTGCCTATTGTAGGAGGAAAAAAAATGTTAGCCAGTATTGCTACATGAATAAACACAACAAGAACATAAAACTCCCCTCTAAGTCTACGAAACTGTTAAGGATGATGCAAAGTCTATTCACCTTTTATTCAACTGCTTACAGAATACTCTATATAACAGACTAATATCATGTTGTATGGAATTCCCATGCAAAAAGCTGCCAGACATGCAAGCAAAAAAAGGCTGTAAATAACTGTCAATTGCGTAAAAGGAAAAAATCCCTCTGAGAGTACAAATTTCCCCACCATCACCCTGGAAAAAAAACGGACTCATTTAGCAGTCTGGAAATATAAAGTTAAGATTTCATTTAAAAACAGATATTAAACCATACGTCACCTACATAAGTCTTTTCCATTCCCTCCTGAGCTTCTAGCTGAGCACAAAAGGTGTGTCAGTTGGAGACATTATGATAGAGCTCATTTAATGGACATTTTATGGAAGACTTTAAATACACAGTCTAAAGTTGCAGATACGCTAGATCCAATAATTTCATTTTATTTATGTTCTTCGTAGATTCAGGGAACTCTTAAGTAAATGGCTTTAATTCTGTGCCTGTGCTAATGGTATATGAGCAAAGTGTCCTCTACCTTGCACCATGCCCTATAAAATGTCCAGTGAAAATTAATGAATAAATCTAGCACTTTTTATCATTCAAACTTCTGACACATTTTGTAAGTTGCAAGGTAATTCCATGTTAGCATAATGAATAAATTCAGATATGCATAGATTCAGGATGCAGTGTCACGACTGACTTTAACTTACCAAGATGACACACCATTAAAATTGCAGTCCTGAGGTCCCCAGTTTTTCTTCCTTCCCATTAAATATCTCTGCTGCTTTCTTTCAAGCTGATCCAGCAAAGAATTAACCAGTCATGAAAAAAAGAAATATTAAGTTCCAGTAAGATCAGTAAGCTATTCTGACTCACCAATATGGTTACATAATGTCCAGAACAACAAAAAAATAAATCAAATATAATTACTCTTCATGTGACAGTGGTGTCTTTATGCTTAAGGCTGTTAGACAGGTAGATGTTGCCTGACTTTACAGCAGTAGGAAAGCAACTCAGCACACACAGCTATCAAGACTGATGTTGCTTCCAGCTATCAAGACTGATGTTGCTTCCTTGGCTCACAACACTTCCATAATACAAAGAGCAGGCAGCTTGGTGCAAACAGCAGCAGCAGGGAGAGAAGGTGGGTTCAGGTGCTTACATATAAATGCCCTTACATTCCCTTGAATTTTGGAAATGCTGTCTTCTCAGTCGTTACTAAATTGATGTTATCTCACCCTCCCTTGACCATACACAGTGCTAGCTTCAGTGACAGAGGACTTCTACAACGCCTCTTGTCAAAGCTAGAATTATGGCAGAGTAGTAATCACAGATATATTATTTGATGCCCTAAAACAAATCATGTTTAATGTGGTTCAATTTATACCCTTTACACTTGCAGCGCTTCCCACTTCAACYGGAAATCCCAACATGCAATGCATTGCTATCTAAAAATAGCACAAAGGGCTCTATCTTAAGAAAAAATCACAAAAATCAACACAAAAATACTATGAGATTGTTCATGTAGTCTTTTGCCCCTGTATATAGCAAGGCAATAGGGCTATTAGGGTTAACCATCTGAGAGCATCTTGGGCTTCACTTTACACTGGCCAAATTCATTTAGGCCAAAAAATACACTCACGGACTCCCTAGCAGCAATGTGCACTATTCATTCAGCAGTCACTGAAATCAAGACGCAAGGCAGGTCGTGCAGGGGTTTGTGCTGACTAAAGGAGAGGTCAGTCTTGAGAAGTTCAAGAACAAGTTTATCACTTGAAGGATAAATGCTTCAGACTTCCCTTCTCAGTATTTATGGGGTCAGAACTGGTGCAGCTGTATTACTGGCTGATTCAACCCTATTCCCATGTGCAGAGAGGCCTAAGTTGGCATAACGTGGTCTCTTCCAAGCCAGATGGCAGAAAGCAGGAGATGGTGTTACACATTAAAACATCTCTTTTCAGTTATTTTATTTGCTATGCTTCCTTCTAGCTCCTTAGTTTGCCAGTTAGATCTGCTTTATATGCAGCTGAGCTCAGAACACCCTTTTAAGAGATGACATAAAAGAAATGGTGCAAATTACCTGCAGGCAAAAGGCTTTGTTCAAGGATACAAATGCCAGTTTAGGGGACGGTTGAGTAAAATATACCAACAGAGTGCTAACTTCTAACATAAGCATATTCACAGTCACTTTATTAAGAAGGTGTATAAATATGCGCACATGTATTCATACAATCTTTGTAACATTTTAAGTCAGCTGTTAAGTATATATTTCTTTGTTGTAAACATTATTTCAAAGATCTTTACCTAATTTATTCTGGAAATATTAAGGTTCAAGTGCCCAGCTAAATTCGGATGTTCATTAACATTTCTGAATCAAACTTCTAACAGTCCAGCATYGTGGTCTCTTTGTAAGAGGTAATTTGAACTCATTTTTAAACATTAAATAAAAGCATATATCAAAATGGTTTTGAATGCAAAGTGCAAGAATGGAAAAGAACAAAAATAAAACCTGCTGACCTAGGATTTTAAAGAAAACTGCATTTTATGCATTATGTATTCTAGAGCTTCTTTTAATAGGATATCTTCTCTCAATATATTATTTTCTCTGAAAATTCTTAACTCGAATGCCTCCTCTGTGGGTGCATGGAGACAAAAGTTCCTTAGTCTCATTTAAAAGCACTAAGGATTCATTTAATGCATGCTGATGCCCTATGGTTTGGCAACACAGTCCATTTATTCCTGCCTCCATCTGACTTTTGGCATATATGAGATTTGCCCAGAGAACTTGCCAAGTTTCATGTGAAACTGCTCTTTTTATTTTTAAATAAGTAATTCCTAAAAATAATAGGATTGTTAAATTTCCCTCCTCCCTTGCTATCCTTCCAGTGCTTTTCATATGGCAGTTACCGTAAAACAATAAAAAAGCTAATCAATTTACTGTTTAAGAAAATAGCAGGCTGGAAAATCTATGTTTGTCTAGTTTAGGAAACTAAAGGTTGAACTTAATTTTCAGCTTGCAGCTCACTCCTACTTCTTTTACCAATACAGATAAACATGGAACAAATTAAGTACAACAGTCTTAACCTTAGTTGCAGAATGGAACAACCTTAGAAAACTGTCTGCAATCCCTGACCTCTTTGCTAAAACTTGCAAAGGATATAAGCAGTTCCAGTTCTGACACAACACCTATCCCTGAAAAACTTTCTGCAAAGAGACTGTGCTTCACACGCACACACTGACTTCATCACAATATTTGAAGTTTTTTTTAAAGCCGCTCTTAGAACCCAACGACTAGGTGGGTAATGAACAATAATTCTTTTTCYGAGGAAAAACGTCAGGTCCTTACAGTTTCAATAAATAAATAAATAGAAATGGCAGTTCCATGGGCCCAGCACCACAAAACAAGTAGAAATACCCAAATGTACATTTGGAAAAATCATTATCATTTTAAAAAACAACAACATGAATACTAAGTAAACATGCACAGAACATCTTCTATTAAAGCACAGCGTTAGCACTTGKCTAGCTACGAGATGGCCAGGTTCTAATCCTTGAGAGTCACTTTTCCTCTCGCACCCCCCTGTATTCAGCATCTAGACCAACACAACAAGAAGCTTCACCTTATCCACAGTAAAGGGGTCTCACATACATGGATAATTTAACAACCCTAGTTACCTAACTCCTACAAGAAATGCAGATGAGCACAATCTGGAAATTCAAGACACCCACTAGTGACATCCATGTGGATCCTTCAGGACATATTAGTACTTAGATGTCTCTGTACCAYGACTCTCCTAGAGCTCCAGATTCAAGAGGTCTTTTAGTTGTCGACGCCAACTAGCCTGGACAAAGCAAGTTCAGATCCAGTTTTCCAGCCAAGCTAATAAAACCCCCTGGAACATGGAGCATAGTGCAGAAACACCCAAGCAGGTCTGCAAAGAGCCAGCTTGGGTCCATCAGGGCTTATTAGCTCAGACACTGTCTGAAAGCAGCTGCACTGCAGAGCTGGTCCTGGAAACRGCAGAGATGTGTTAACATGGCACAGTACTTGAACTAATAAACCCTGTTAGTGCTGAGCTGAGTCTGCCCTAGGCCAAATCTGATGCCTGTATATCCACAGCATAGTTAATCTACAACTGCAGAAATTGCTGAAAGACTTGACTCTAGCTCTGGCTCAGCACACACATCTGCTCCTACTCTTATGCCTAAGGTTTCTGTTCTCATCAGCTCACTCTGTCTCTCACATGCCACCCTCTGCCTGGTATCCCTCTTACCCATTTATCTCTTGGCTTTTGACGTCCATTTCTCAATCTTCTTCTAAATGTCTGTGATAAAGCTGCACAATGTACTCTGGTGGCTCCCAGTCTTTCAGGAATGACTGTAATGGCTAGAAACCTTCTCCTCCTTGTCCCATCCTCTCCACCAGACTGATGCTTTCTAACTAACTCCTTTGTTCCCGACACTCAAGACAAGGCCTGTGGCCTGCCTTTGGCCTTTAAATTCCTATCAGGGGAACAGCTACAGCTATAAAAATAAAAGATGCTTGCACTGGTACAGCAAATTATCTCGCCTCCATGGAGAAACAAAAACAAACAAACAAACAAACAAAAAACAGTACCAGCAGCAATATCAGTAAAACCACCACCACCAGATCTCTGACCAAGGCAAGCTACCAGTTCCAAGAGCAAAATATGCCACTTCCCTTTAAAAGTGTTTATCTGCCAGCCCACATATGTGTCCAGGGATCTTTGTCTGTTGGTAAAAGACTGTCCTCAGGCTGCTGCTGATAAGAACCGTGAAGGAGGTTCTTTCCTTGCCATAGGAAGAAATTAGGGCAGGCAAAGGCAGACTGAGATGAAGCACGAGGCAATGGGCCTGCTGACTGAACATCAGCTCCATCTCCCAGCTCAGGCACCTTTGCTCTCCCATCACCACTCACCTCTATAAGACACACAAAATACCCCCTAAGCTGCATGTTTTGCAGCTTTGTCCTATGTGTAGCATGGGCTGAACACCAGGGATCMAATTTTTACAGTACTGAAAAAAGAATGACACAGCTAATCATTTGTCACCCTTTTAGACTCTTGTGACCCTTTTAGAATTGGAATTGCATATATTGAACCACGACCCCACCTGCATTACTCCTCTAGATACAGTCAAGGCTCTGACAAAAACCATGGCCAATCCCACATGGCACAGGAGATCATTGATCTTGAGCTGATTCTATAACACTGAAATCAATATAAAAATAATTTTAAAAAAAAATCACACCTAAAATTGAAGTTTACCTTTTCAATCATCAATCATGCTCCAACCAGTACACCAGCAACCAGTACACCTTTATTGTCTACACAGTATGATGTACTGTATATATGTGCAGTGAAACAACAGAATCCTAAAACACATAACTACTCTTTGCTTACTTTACAGGGAAGATTAGAAAACGTAATCTGCCTGGTTTGGAGCTGCTGTGTTGCAAATATTAATCTAATGTTTTCTGCTGTCTAAAGAAAAAATGACCATACTCTCCTCTTACATATGCTTTTTACATCTAGGTAGTATGTAAACATTAGCAGCAAAAGACTGGCCAGAGACTTCTATCAAGAGATCCATTTTTGTTCTAGTGGCATAACTAGAACAGGATCTTCTTGTGATCAGGACAACAGGAGACATGGTTCAACGGTTCATGGTTCTTCATCCATACACCTGCTGTGTTCTACGGAGCCGCTGTTGTGCTTCTGAAKGGTCAGGGG